TGTAGCTGATGGTAGGTGCAGAATAATTTTTAGATTGGGCAAATGAATGCAATTTGGCAGGAATTGCCTGTGACTATTGAGTATATTTGCTGCCTCATTTATTAATTAAGCATGGAATTCATTCATTAGCAGTGCTATGCTATTACATCTAAAAATAAAAATGAAAAGAGTTCTGTGTTTTTCTCTTATTTTGTTTCCCAGTTACCTTTAGAGTGTGACACTGCCTGGCACAGAACTTGTACTATGCAATCTCCAGTGGCCTTTCAGAAAGGCTTTTCTGTCTTTGTTGACCCATTTCCTGGATTAGTCTGGCTAAGTTACGGATTATTTTGTCTGTTAAGCTTTTTCTTATGTCCAGTAATTCAAGAGTGGCATATTGGCATAATAGTGTATCCAGCTAGTCCAGCTTCTAACTTTCATGTTTATAACTCTTAAAAAGTTTGAAGAAGTTAATGATAACATTTTATTTTCTTGCAATATAGAGGACACTTAGTAACTTCTCAAGTACACCTTGGTGTTTTGTTCTTTTTTTTTTAATCATGCTAGAATAAATACTTAAATTCTAGAAAAACAGGAAACAGGCAGAATGATACATTTGTTGATGTAGGATGTCAGATAATTTAGTATAAATTACAGATTCTTTAAATACTTGAAAACAGTGAAGGTCAGGAAGCCTCCATTCAAAATTTTCCAGCATATGTATAATATTTTACAGGATGTCTGTCTGTCAGTAGACTGCAAAAGAATAATCTGTAAAGACCAACTTGTTTGTTGTTTTTCGTGTTGTCTATTTATGCCCTGACAAATGAGCATCGGATGTATTGTCGAGTCTGAAGAACAGCGTGCAGTTCAAGGTTACAAACAAGCCAGAGTATGTAGCATGAGGAAACTAGGCACAGGCTGTTATTCTGAACTGTTTCTTTTCAGTAAATTAATGTTCTGGCCTTGAAATAACATGCTAGTGTGGTCAAATAATTTAATTCATTATTTAAATGATTTATAAAAGGAGGGTAATCAAAAACTTTTCTGTAAGTAATTTGTGTGATTCTGTCAGATGAAAGTTTCTTTCGCAGTCATTATATTGTTCATACTCCTGAAAAAATATACTTGAAAGTATGTGTGGAGGTATAATTTTGCATCAGCTTAGAGCCTGCTACCTTGAAAGGAAGAAAATTCTATGTTAATCTTCATCTTGAACTGCAGATTTTATTTATTTGATTTTCTTGTGTTTTATGTACAGAGGTCCATAATTTGCAGATATAGACTGAAAGCACTGGAAATTTCAGGTTTTCTGAAGCTAGGAAAGCCCTTCAGGCTCTGCCTGTCACGTGAGGTAACTGGGACACCTTGCTCTCTTGTCTCTTGTCCCCACTTGGCCTTCACCCAGCTGCAAGGCCAAGATGTGCCTGGCCCCACATATGCTGTCCTGCCCTGCTTGTTCAGCATGGAGGCCTGTTAGCCAACTGCAGATTGCACAGCAGCAATGCACAGTTTGCAGCTGCTTTTAACCACTTTTTCCAAGGACTTTGGACATGTGTCAGGGAATGCCAAACTGGAGAGAGAATTCCTCCTATACTTTCCTACGTGGTGGCCAATGGCTGGGAGGTCTCCTTGCTTTGGCTAGAGTTTTCATTTTTCCCTTTTTAAACTCTGTGTTGTATTTTTCCCAGTGTTCTTACTGTTCGTTTTTTTTTCTTGCTACTCCTTACAGGACCTGCTGATAGGTGAAAGAATATATTTAGATGCTCTCAGGTTTGGTCCCTGTCACAAGCTCTGTAAATAAAGCAGTGCTTTCGTCTAACTTGGCAAAGCTGGGGCTACACCTGGTTCATATGCATTCATATCGCAGCAAACATTTTAAATTCATCCTCTGTGGCAAGTGAGGAAGTACTGAAAGACAAATGGAATGTAATAAAAACATTTACAAGAAGGGTCATAAGGAGGATCTGGGGAGCTACAGGCCTATCAGTCTGACCTCGATACTGGGGAAGGTCATGGAATAGATCATCTTGAGTGTAATCACTTGGCATGTGTGGGTTAGCCAAGTGAAAGGCAGGTCCTGCTTGACCAACCTCATCTCATTTTGTGACCAGGTAGGTGAGGTAGAGGTTGTGTACCAGCTGGTAGATGAGGGAAAGGCTGTTGATGTAGTCTACCTAACCTTCAGTAAAGCTTTCACACTGATTCCTGCAGCGCTCTCCTGGAGAAGCTGGCAGCCTGTGGCTTGGGCAGGTGCACTCTTTACTGGGTAAAAAACTGACTGGAGGGCCGAGCCCAGAGAGTGGTGGTGAATGGAGTTAAATCAAGCTGGTGACTGGTCACAAGTGGTGTTCCCCAGAAGTCCTTGTTGCTGGGGCCTGTCCTGTTCAATATCTTTGTTGATAAACTGACTGAGAGGATTGAGTGCATGCTTAGAAAGTTTGCAGATGACGCCAAGTTGGAAGTGTGCAAAGAAGTGTTCATCTGCCTGAGAGTAGGCAGGTCCTGCAGAGCTATCTGGACAGGCTAGGACAGGACTGAGTCTGCATTTTGGTTACAACAACCCCATGCATCGCTACAGGTTTGGGAGAGTGTGGCTGGAAAGCTACATGGAGGAAAAGGACCAGGGTGTTGGTTGACATTAGGTTGAATATGAGCCAGCATTTTGCCTAGGTGGCCAAGAAGGCCAGTGTATCAGAAAGGCTTGTATCAGAAACTGTGTTGCCAGCAGGAGCAGGGAGGTGATCATCCCCCTGTAGTCAGCACGGTGAGGCCGCACCTCAAGTGCTGTGTTCAGTACAAGAAAGACATCGAGGCCCTGAAGCATGTTCAGAGAAGGACAGCAAAGCTGGTGAGGGATCTGTAGCAAAAGTCTTGTGGGGTGTGACTGAGGGAACCTCCTGAAAGGAGGTTGTGGTGAGTTGGGGGTTGATCTCTTCTTCCATGTAACTAGCAATAGGACTAGAGGGAATGGCCTCAAGTTGTGCCAGGGGAATTTTGGGGTGAATATAAAGAAAAACTTCTCTGAAAGAGTGGTCAGGCTTTGGAATGGTCTGTCCAGGAATGTGGTTGAGTCACCCTTGCTGGAGCTGTTCAAAAAGTGTGTAGTTGTGGTACTTAGGGGCATGGTTTAATAGGCAGTATTGATGGTGGCTGGGTAGTTGGGCTAGATGATCTTGGAGGTCGTTTCCATCTTGCTGATTCTGTTATTCTACATATTCTTATGCATGCCGTAAGTTTGTACATGGGAGATAATAGCTAAAAATAGTCATCTTAGTTTCAGATTATATTGGGGCTGATTAAGCTACGATGAAAAACACCTTTGTGAAGTGTGAACTACATCTTTATCTGCAGCTACTTATATGCAACAAAACTGGTTTCCCTAGTGAATATTTATGTGTTATACAAATTTGTTTTCCTCGATAATTCCTGTCAAAGCCATGTAGCCTTATATAGGATTGTTTGACAACTGTTGCATTTGATTATAAGAAAACAATTTCAGATGTTTTAAAAATATATTCCCAAGCATCTTGATAAGGTATTTGGTATGGAATTAAATGTTGTAAGAAACCTGCTTGCTATAATTTTAACTGGTTGAAAACAAAATGTATATTTGAAAGCAATCTTTAAAACCTTTTGGGAAAGGACCGAGGGCAGTTCTGTATGCAAATAGCAGTTCCAAGTTTTTAATTTCTCACTGAGATTTCTGAACTAGCAGCAGTTTCTGTCTTGCTGTACAAATGTATGCATTTTTACATATAAGAAAGGGCACTGTTTCAGTTTAGCTTTTAACCATTTCCTGATCAATTTTTTTTTTTCATTCACGTAAGGAGACTTGGCTTTTCTTTAAAGTTATACTTACATAATGTATTCTAAAGTAGTTTGATTTACAGTAGCACAATATTAATATTAGCAATAGCTTCCTCTCAAGTCTCTACTATTGATTTCATGAAGCTGTTAGGATTCTTGGAGAACAGAGTTCAAAAGCACAAGCTGTTATGTTATTGACTTATTCATTGTAATAAATCTTTTTCTCAAAAGCTCTCTCTGAATCCTTGTCCTTTACAAGAAGCAACATTTTGAAGTTATAGAGAAAAAAGTTGTCAAAACAAAATAAAAATTACTGAAGCCAAATGAATTGTTAAATATAATATGGCTGTGGTGGCTCTCATTTCTTTTGGAAGACTGTTTTAAGATAAGCAGTAGTTTTGTAAAGGTAGTGCAGACTGCCTTACTGATAACCCAAGCTATATCCTCAAGGAACCATCATGCATTCCAGCATATTTCAGGAAATTTCATAAATTTGATCGTATCTCAGACGTCTATTTTTTCAGGATGGAACTTTGTTTTAAAGGAAATGTATTTTTGGTTTTCCCTGTGAGCACACAGCTTTGTCTCTTAGGAAAATTATATGGTGCTTAAAAAAAAATCCCATCATCTGACTCATGTGTCTTACCCAAAATCTAGTGGGGTTCATTTAAGCAGTCAGTTCTTCTTTAACGTATCCTTCTAATGACATTGCATGCCCTTACTGCACATTTTTAACCTCATGACTCCTAGAATGCTTTCTATGGATGAAGTATGAGCGTGTTTACTAGGAAGTGTTTGTCATTTTCTTTTTTAGCTTAGCAGTATTAAACTTGGATAAGTGACTAGAATTGAATTCTAGATACATAGAAGGTTGTGCTGAAGGTACATATGGTACTGTTTGAAGTCATTATTAATTGTTACTAGGATTTGTGCTGAGAAGAGGAATTTTTTTGAAAGTGGTATTGAAAAAGGAGATGTTACACAATGAAATGTAGAAATGTATTTTGATGGTGTTTTAGCAATCTGAGAAATAGATTGAAAGTTGTGCTACAAAAGGGGTTGAAAAATTGTGGATTGGCAATTTATGGATCTACATATGTTCTTTGAAAATTCCTCTAGAAAATGGTGCATTTTAATGTGATTTTGCATCTTCTTTTGGAAAATTGTTACAGGTTTCATTTTGTTTTTTTTTTTTTTTAATATTTTTAAAGGAATCCAAAATGTACTCAGCTTGTTCTGTGCCGTGCTTACGGAAAATAAAGTTCTCTTTCACTCAGCAAGTTTTCAGAGGCTCAGTGATGCCTGCAGGGCTCTGGAGTCTTTGATGTTTCCTCTCAAATATAGGTGAGTTGAGCTATAGATCTCTGAACTCTTTGACTCATTGCATAACTTGTAACTCACGTTGCGCTGTCATTAGCAAAAACTGTGTTGTGTTTGTTTGAATAAATTTCAAATAAAGTTTTCATGATCAGATATACAAGTGTTCTACAAGTCCTGTATGCAGCATTTGAAAATCTCTTGCATTATGACAGTGAAATGATGAAGGGAGAAACATCCTGCCTGCAAATACAATAGAAACCAACTCACAGCATCAGTTAGATGGTAAAACTTGATACTAGTGATCCGTAAGTAAATGCATAAAGAAGAAAACATTTGGGCAAGACCTAATAGCTATGTCCAGTAAGTAAGAAACAGTGCATGCCAAAAGAATTAGAGACTGTGGTAAAAAATTGAAACAGTGGTGCACTGGGTTTCTGACTGGATGCAAGGAAAACATGTTTTATTATAAGAATAACTAAGTACTGGAACAGAGTGGACGACTGGAAACTCCATCTCTGTGGGTTTTTAGGACCCAACTGGACAAAGCCCAGTACAACTTGATCTGAATTCTGTCTTGGTCCTGCTTTGAGCAGGTTATATTAAGTGATCTCCTGGGGCTCTTTACAACCTGAAAGATTCCTTGATTCTAAGAAAACATCTGTATTAGCTAGTAACAGTTTTAAGTCATTGACAAATATTCTCCAGAGAATGAATTTAAATCAAATTTAAATATAAATAATCCCATTTGGGTCCAACATGAAGTGGAAAACTTAATGTCAAGTTATTTGGCTTTTAAGCAAGAAGACATGTAATTCTGACTCATCTGTTTTAAAGAATGCTTGTATTTTATTAGCATATTTTTATGTGTTTAAAATATTTTGGAGGTAGGCATAATATTAATCTAGAATAAAAAGGAGAAAAAATGAATATGTTGGAATGTTTATGTGATAAAACAGTAATTAATGTAAATTTTTAATCGTAATTATCTGTTGAGAGATGAAATGCACTGATTAATCCAGATCCAGATTTTTTTCTTGCTCTAATGAAAAGGCTTAAGGTGCTGATTTCAAGTAAGCAAAAAATAGCTGAAGTAGATCTGTATGTTTAGCAGTCACTTCGGTATCAAACTAAGTGATTTCATTTGGGCATTCTTTATTAATAATATTTTACAGAAGTCTAAACTGTAGCTTTCTGTCCAATATCTATTCATGTTTTTAAAATGAAAGTATTATCCATAACTTTATTGTTTCTGATCACCTATAAATTTTGAATGAATATAGTATCTGTATAAGATAAATATTACAAATATAATTTGCTTTTATTTTGCAAGATTGACTTGTTTATAATCAATTGTGGGCACTGTAATCATTTCTGGAGTTTACACGACAGATACTTCATGAATTTTTTCACATTTTTTCTTAAAGAAAAAAAAGTGCTTATAGTAAACTTGACTTATACAAGAAGCTTGAAATAAAAAACCAGTGCTATGTAAAGAAATAGATTTTATTTTACTGTATTTATTCTTTTCACAGTTATCCATATATTCCAATTCTTCCTGCGCAGCTACTGGAAGTTCTCAGTTCACCAACGCCTTTCATAATTGGTGTACATTCTGTCTTTCGTAATGACATTCATGAGCTCGTAAGTATAACTACTGAGAATGGACATAGCATCATCTATGATGCAGAGATTTTTCATGCTTCAGAAGTGTTCTTATGAACCATTTATATCTTTTGAAAATATTACTGTAAAAGACAGGACAATGAGGAGGAGAAAAAACATAAGCATCAGTTCTTCTATAAATATGTTAAGACTGTAAAGTAAAGAAGGGAAATGATTGCATGGAGTGCAGGATGGGAAGGAAAGGATCCGTTTCAAAGTTTGTCATGTCATGAATTTGAACACCTCTTTTAGTGTTATTGGGTATATCCTCAGTTATTTTATGCTTAATTTTTAAATAAGCATTTGAGAATCTGATCCATAGTTACAGAGGTGCCTAGAAACGTATACTTTTACATTAAAATTGTCATCATTGTTTCCTTTTGAAAACAGATTATAAAATATCTCAAATCACTCAACGCAGACCTGGTTCATCCACAAACACTAGGATTTATATTCATTTTTCACAACTAGGTTCAATAATATGAAGTATTTGGAGTATTTCCTTTATCAAAAACATTCTGTACGATACAGTTAGTACTGTTTTAATTTGCTTTTATTAATTTGTGTGTAGATTATGAAATCTGAAATGTTGGTTATTTAAACTATATAATATCATGCTCACAGTGCTACCAATAATGTTTTTGTTTGTCCCTTACAGTTAGATGTAATCATTGCAGATCTGGATGGAGGCACTATTAAAATTCCTGAATGTATTCATCTTTCTCAGCTCCCAGAACCATTGCTACACCAGACTCAAATGGCGCTTTCTCTAGTATGTTTTGATACAAAACTCATTTTCCACTTTCTCGTCACTTTTAAAAGCATGAAAAAAGTATTTTAGTATTAAATTGCTTTCATACACAGTGAAATACATGATTTCAAACTATAAATCATGCCAACACTGCTCATTTTAGATTAATGTATTATCTGAAGTTAGAGTAAACATTGTCAGTAATTTAATTTAATACCAAAATAAGATTTTTCTCTTTTCAAGAGGAAGGTAGGGATTTTTCAACCGTAATGAATTTGAAATGAGTCCAAACTATAAGTTCTATAACTTACCTCAGTGTATTATTTGAAGTAAGCCACTGTAAATATTATTTTGAGAAAGAAGAAAAAGTAATTTGTCTTTGCCTCAGCAAATTGAAGGGGAAAAAATTGTTTTAAAAATTCTCTAGGTTTTGCATCCTGATTTGGAAACAGCAGATTATGCCTTCCCTCCCCCACGAACAGCTTTATCGCACACAAAAATGCTGGTAAGATTTCTTTGTAATGTCTAAATTTCTTAGAAAACTTGAAATTTTATACTAAATTTCTTTTAAGAATTTTGACTTTGTTTTCTTTTCCTTATCCTTTATTACTGGTGGAGTAAGGAATTGGCACCAGGACATTGCATTCTGTTCTGTAACAGGATTCTCATGGGTTCAAAGCTCTTATAAAGATGATTGTTAACATGCAAACACCTTATTTTCCTTTAAAAAAAAGTGTTCTTAAAAAGACTATTGAGTTAAATCTGTGCTTTCTCTGTTTCGCAGACCAGTGAAGTTGCAAAATTTTGCTGGGGTGGGCAAACTAGTTTTCTGTTTTTCTGTCTATATTCGTCTATTATTTTAGAGACATTAAAAACATTAAATATATAATTTTAGAGTAAATTTAGGTACGGATAAGTGTGGTAGTCATGTCAGCAAAACATAAGACCCTGATTTTACAATAGTAATGGTAGGTGTTTTACATTATATGTTTGGGCATGTTGGGAAAGGAATTGTATGGGTTTTTTAAACATTGTTTTTGTTTTGATGAACTTCACTCAACCTGAAAACAATACATTCTTTTTGATATACAGTCTGTAGTAAAAGAAAAAAGAAAGCAGCCCAGAGAGTTATCTACTAAGGTCTAATTAACTTAAGTTACAAATAATTGTGAATCCATGAAACCTTAATAACCTAGTAAAGCTACTGGCTTTAGCTTGAAGGAACTGCAACTGGAGTTAATGATATAAATAAAAATATGAGAGCCAATTCAATTTTAAAATACATCTTAGTTTTGTTTTGCAGGTATATTCTGCAGTTGCCTAAGATTCTTTTCTGCTTGCAATTTTCAAATTAAAATTTCTTCAAAAAATTATTCAAACACTTTCTAGGACCTCAGGTTTTAGACACAGCTGTAGTCCAACTAGATACTGGCAGTGAAATGAAAATAATGTGGATGACACAGTATTTGATTGCAGTGGTTTTAATTGCATCTGGCCTGAAGATGACCCTGACCCAAGGCTGCCATCATCTGTTCATATCAATTCCACTAGCACATCCATGTCTTTGTAAGCACTCCCCTACTCAATTTGATGAAAATAAACCTGCTCCAGTGTCACCACCTCCAATGGCACAGTAGAGCCATGCTATCTTAAGGAGCAAATCCAGGCTAAGATACCTGCTTTTCTTTCATTATCATTGATTTTCACTGGATGACCATCCAAACAGTTATACTTGCTCTGCCCTGACGCTGACAGTGCTGTGCAGGTATGAAAAAAGAAAAACAGGAGAAAAGGGGTGGGCATGTACTAAATATGGAGTTGTAGTCCAGACACAGGTCAGTGAAACTGTAGCCTGACATCGGATGGATTTGTATGTATGCACTTCACATGACGTGCAGATTTGCTGCACTGTTTGACAAATCAGTAGGCGTCCTATCAATTAGCTTTATATTAGCTTTATATGAAACGTGAAAAAAATCATAACATGAAAATGTTTTGAGAATGTGTTCAATGCTTTTGTAGGATAAAGAAGTGCGAGCAATTTTCCTTAGGCTATTTGCACAACTTTTCCAAGGATACCGGTCATGCCTTCAGCTGATCAGAATTCATGCTGAGCCAGTCATTCATTTCCACAAGGTAAAAGAGAAGCAGTAATTTTTATTTGCTTAGCGTTTGTAGTTATTACGTTATTACCATGGGCTTGCCTTTTGTGTAAGAGTTTACAAAACTGAAAGATAAATCTCAGATGTTTTTTAAATTGCTGTTGACATGCAAAAATTAATCAAGATCATTTTGACATAGCATAAAATCAGTGCTTTTTAGTGGGACAAATTGTAGAGGCAGTGATAAACATGAAGTGAACAACATTAAAATTCATTATAAAGAAACATCTGGGGAATCATCAAGGAATCTTTTCAAAAGTGTGTCTTTACAAGGCAATAATTGAAAGTACCAGTTTTGTTTTATTACCTGTAAGATATCTAAATGTGTACATAAAATCCTGTTGCATCACACCTGGTATAAATACAGGTATAAAAAGTAATTAGGTAATACAAGAAGTTTCAATTAGAAAGTGCCTCATGTTACTGAAGTCTGCTGAAAATGCATAGTTTGCTTGTACAAACATAGTTGTTTCTATTTTTGATACTGATAAAATACTTGCATTCCTTTCTGTCTTTAATACAGGCAGCCTTTTTGGGCCAGCGAGGCTTGATTGAGAATGACTTCCTAACCAAAGTTCTCAATGGAATGGCATTTGCTGGTTTTGTGTCAGAGAGGGGACCTCCCTTTAGAGCCTGTGATCTTTTTGATGAGGTGAAAAGTGTTTTTTTGTTGTTTATTTCTTCTTTTAATCCCAAGTAAATTAAAATATACCTGTGACTTTTCAACTTCTTAAAAATTTAAGTTCTTCCAAATACTCACTATTTATGATATAACACTTATGCTAGTTTCTGTTTTCTCATTTTCTATTAATCACGCGTTTCTAGCTTCCTTTCATAACATCATGCCCTGTCCATATATATGGAATTAAAGATTTGTGTATTACCATGTGTAAGTCATGGTAATGCTGTTCCTGTTGTCAGGTTTGGAAGTGTGTAATGCATCACATGTAGTACAGAATTGAGTAATTTAATTACATTCTTAGAAACATTGAAAAAGTAATGAGAAAAATTAAATACCCAAGAAAATGAACTGGGACAAACATTATTTTCTTTTAAAAATCAGTACCATATTTTTTCTATACTGCTTTTTATTTGAATATACAGTACAAATAGAGTTTGGTATTAACTGCTTAGCAACGGTGCATTTGAGAAATGTAGATTATAGCATTAGAAATGCCAAAGGAATGATTTAGGTATGTAGGATTTCTGTGTTAGGTTAGTTTATAAGATCTGGCAGCAGAAGCTCTGTGTGTAAGTGAAAATATGTTGTAGAGCAAGGCGACTGCAAATTTTTCCCTTTTTTATTTCTCAGTTTCAATTTAATATTGGCATTTCATAATATAAAGAATAAATAAATTACCTTTAGTTAAATTGTAAACATGTTGTGGTTGTTTTTCTTTTTTTTTTTTTTAAGTTGGTAGCCTTTGAAGTTGAAAGAATTAAGGCTGATGAAGGTAATCCACCAAAAATGATAAAGCATGTTAGAGAACTTGCAGAACAGCTCTTCAAAAATGTAAGTTTACTCTACCTATTGCACTTCAGAGTTGATAACTGTTTTCTGTTCAGTTTTCTGAGTTTGATCCAGTGTCTGAAAACAGAAATGACTGCTTGTGGTTGCCATCTGCATTATAACTGAAGACTTGGGAGCTTGAAATCCCAATAATTTTGTATATTAAGGAAGTTCAATACATTAATACTAATTTATTAATGTTAATAGTGATTTACCAATGTCCTACTGCTATTTAGCACAGTTTTTTTCATCTGTATTCACTAAATATATATAAACTGTTATTTTCGCTGCTGCAACCTGTCTGGACCAAACAAGTCTCCTATCTTACCTCAACAGTTTCCCATAAGAAAACAGTTTGGTGTAGTGTATTCTTCCAGCAGATGTGCCCTGCTGTGTAACCCAGGCCCCTGGTTTCTGTGTGCAGCAAGTGTTAACTATATCACATCTTATGGGTTTGCTTCTTGGACTCTGGGTTTCCTAGAATACTGTTCCCAGTTGCATTCTTTCCTTCCTATCATGTCTTTATGTTGTACAGTGCTTTTCTAAAATCCCCTAACATTCCATTAAATCGTTTTTTTTTTTAATTGTTTACTTGTTTTATTTGGCATCAGCTAATCTACGTCCTCGTCATATTTCCTGTCGTTGTTCAGACTCAACAAAGCAATATCTATTTTTCAATCAGTCAACACCTTTATCACCCTATCTTCTTCTGTATCCCACTTCCCCAGAACTATAATTTACAACTGCTCTGCTATAAAAAACACAGAAATTTCTAACTAGTGCTAAGTTCTGGGCTGTTTTTTGCCTTTTTTTTTTTTTTTTTCCCCCATAATATGTTGTCTTTGAGCATTTCATCACTGTTAATGCAGTCTCTGCTTTTGGTAGGATTAATTTAACATAGTAAATCCAAAGTTTTACAAATCTTGCACATGGAGGTCTTGTGTCTGTAAATTTTGGATGGAAAATATATCTATATATTTTAAAAGGTGTGTACGAAATGAGGCTAGTCCAGCTTTCAATATTGTCCTTGGTTGCAGAATTTGTGTACTTGTGTTCAGATATGGTATCTCTCTTTCCCATCCTCCACTCTTTGTCATTTTTTTCCTCCAAAATTGCCAAATGGCTTTTCTACATTTTTGAATGAAAGGATTTATTTAGGCTCATACACCATACTCCATGCCTGCTCCTGCTGTGCTTCTCTTCACCTTCTCTTCAATTATGGAGAGGAGCTTTGTGTTATGTGGTAGGACCCAAGTCAGAAGAGCTGTTAGTGGACCTGTTCCATTCACATTGATTGCATTATTTCACTAATTCTACATAATATCCAAGAACATAGTCTGGGAAGTTTCTTGCCTGCTGTTTTAAAATGTTGCATTAGGTGTTTATTCATTGAAGAGAGGTATGGGAAGAATAAAGCTGTAGTATATATTTATAGTAATGACGTTATTTACATTTCAAGTGAAGTTGTGTTAAGATGGAACTTTGAAGTCTGTGAGCACGTTTAGTAAAGTGACTTCTCAAACACAGAGTATTTGTAAGTGGAGGTATTTTTGACAGCATTAAATTTTAAACTCCATGAGTGTCTGTGTGCCTCTCTCTCTCTCTGTGCCTTTCATAATGAAAGAACCTACTGTATATGTACAACTTCTCACTTAAATGATTTCTTAAAATCAGTGTCAAAACTCATTCATTTTCATTTGTTCCCATGGTAAGATTTACTTATACCGTTGCAACTGAAATAATACTGCTTCACCACTAAGTCAATGACTTCAGAAGTCATATTTTTAATAATTATGCATCTTTAAATAATGTACTTTGGTAAGCAACATTGCTTCCAAAAGTTATGCTTAGAGTGATCTCATTTTAATCTCACTGCATGACATAATCTAATCTTATTCCACAGTTACAGTGATCATTATCTCGTAGCTGTAATAGTCTAAACGCATGTGAGAAGCAAGGTTTGTTAGGGAGAAATAACATTTTTATTAGTCTAGCTGGTACAGGTGGAAAATCTAGACAAGTTTTTGGCATCTACTGCTTCAGTAGTTGAAGACATTAGACCTAAATTCTTGATCTGTATATCATTGCATATGCAGAGCTGGCATTAGCTTTGTGATGTCCAAGATGAAAGTTACTCTTCCCTCTGGATCTCTCTTGTCCATGAAATGGAATGTGAAATAATTATTTTTCCTTTCTTTTTTTTTTCCCCCATTTAATATCATTTTTTACCCCCTGTTGATCTTGTGTTTGCTTTCTCAGCCTGGCATCTGCTACTGTCATCCTAACAGCTAGATTTTTGGCTTGTCGCATTAAACTCTCCACAAAGAATTTGTACAGCTAAGTAGCTGGTTTGTTTTTCTGCATCTGAGACCAAATGCATCAATTTTGTTTCAAATTGACATATTCAGTCTCCTTGTTGCCTATGGCTTCTGTAAATGAAAGCATCAGGCTAACTGCTAGTTAATCGAGTTTTATTGCAAGCTGGTTGTGCTTGTATTACAAAAACCTGATTGATTGAATGGCTCTCTTTGGCAGCTGTATGTAGCCAATTATAAGGAACAGCATAGAGTAAAACTGATTAAGTTCAAATATGACCAATGACAAGCCCTGGTAGATGAATGAAGAAAATATATTGTTTGATTTGATTGATTGCTCAAGACACAAGATGTGATACTCTTAATGATGGTAGAAATTTGGTGTTGCATTTAGATCTCTGCCATATTTTAGAAAAGGTAGTACCTTATGCCAGAAAGCCAAAAATCAGAAAAGATTGTCAGCTATTTGAGGAAAAAAATAAAAGAAATTCTGGATTTTCATACTTCACTGTCCTTAGGATTTCTTTCTGGGAATTATGTCTTACATATGCTGAAATCTATGTGGAGGCAGTAAAATGAAATGTGGTTTGTGGTATACTCAGTTGCTGACCACCTGTGGCAAAAGATGCCACAAATGCTGAAGAACATACTGACACAGAACAAGAAGTATAGTATCACGCATATAATCAACATCACTTTTGTATGATAGAGAGCATTTATGCTCATCTTTGCTATTGCACTACTGCACATTAATGTCAAGATGAAGAAGATTATCAGAACTATTATGCAGTAGCAGGTGGAGCAATTATTTTGGTAAAACAAGTAAGGCAGGGAAAACCTTAAAGCAAGGGTGAAAAATTTGTGCATATTACACTTGCAAAGATCATAAAAGAATGAGTGAAAAATCACTGTAGGCAAACTTTACTTTTCACAGTGGAAATTTTGACTTTTGTCAATGATAGAAGTCTTTTCTGTCGGTTGAGAACACTTCAGAATCTGATGTGACAGCTTCCTTTTTTTTTTTTATATCGTAGTTTCGGTCCAGCATTTCCTCTCAGATCACCTGTAAATCTTTTTTGTTTCTACTGTGTAAACAGTGAACTGTATAACATTTTTATGATACGTACAGAAGATAGAAAATTGTTACCTAGTGAAATAGGGCAATGGTTTCAAACATGATACAAAAATGAATTTTCATTCCTAGATTATACCAAGATGAGAATGTTTTTGAGTACTTGGTGACAAGACTGGATATTATAATATTTTTAAATTTGTCTCTATTCAGTAGGATGATTTTTCTATCTTCTTTTTAAACTGTAAATATTAAGTTTCATAAAAACGACCTAAGTTAAACTGTGATTTTCTTTTGCTCTTTTTCTTTTTTGAATTACGTTGAATTTTGTCAAAAATAATTTTATAAAAGCATTTAATAAGATTGGAAATATTACATTTAATGAATCAAAGATGATACAAATTTCAAACACGTCATTAATCATCTGCGTTAGTTGGCTTAGTCCCTCAGGTATGACAGGTAATAACAGTGATAAAAATGGTTGAGACAATTGATAATACAAGTTAAGATTTTTGTCTAACATTTTGCCTGCAGGAGAATCCCAATCCCCACATAGCATTCCAGAAAGTGCCACGGCCCACGGAGGGCTCCCACTTGCGGGTTCACATCCTCCCATTCCCCCGGATCAATGAGTGCCGAGTACAGGAGCTGCTCCAGGAAGGTCTTGCAAGGAGTCAGGGTGCCCCCCCTGCCACTAGGGGGGACAAGAAGTGTGTTGTTCCCGCAGGTCCTCCTGTTGGTATGTTTACTTGTTCCATGACTTCTACTGTTTCTCATGTTTTGAATGTATGATCAGCATGGCTGCAATGTATTGCTCCCAAGAAAAATACCAAGTTGTTGGAATTTATTCAGAGAAGGGGAACCAAGCTAGTGAAGGGGCTAGAAAACGAGACATATGAGGAAGAGCTGGGGAAACTGGAGTCCTTTAGCATGGAGAATAGGAGGCTGAGGTGAGACCTTATCTGTCACTCTCTACTACTACCAGCACTTTCAGCCAGTCAAGGGAAAGGATGATCCCACTTTGCGCTAAGCTCACCTCAACCAGCCTTTGCATTTCTGGGTGCTGCAGTGTAAGGACATAAAGCTATCAGAGAGCCTCCAAAGGTGGAATACAAAGGTGGTGGAGGGTCTAGAGAGCAAGATGTATGAGGTCCCTTGGTTTGCTCAACCCAGAGAAGGGGGATGCTGAGGAAAGGGCTTTATCTAAAATGTATCTAAATATCCTTACCTAAATATAAAGAGCGGATGTAAAACATTTCTTCATTTGGTTTTAATGCCAGAGAAATTGTATTCATCATAATCGTATTTATCTGTCTGGATGATGGCATAAAAAAGTGTATTCAGTAACATGCAAGATACAGGAAGCTAGTAGAGCTTGTAAAAATTATTCAAGGAGGGATTTAGAATGGCAATTTATCATGGAAAATTAAATGACTGATCTGTTCAGTGTTGTCCTTCTCTGCCCTTTTTCTTCAGATTTTTGCAGTTGCATGGGCATGCTTGACTGACTAGGCAACATTTCTGCAGAATTTCATTTTGGGATTATAATAGGGCAAACATGACCCAGCAGTGTCAAACTATTGCAAAAAAGACAAACATCTTAGTAGGATGTATAAACAGAAGTACAATCAGTGAACCCCGTGAAGAAATCCTTTCATTGTAGTCTGTATCCATTTTTGGACACTGGAAGATGGCCTGCATTTTTGATTGTGTTGAAGGGAGTCCAGAAAAAGGCAACAAGAATGACCAGTGGCCTGGAGAATGTGACATGTGTGGAAAGATGGAGAGTTGTTTAGACTAAAAACCAGAAGACTGAAGGGACGCATAGTAACAGTCTTCAATTATGTAAGATGCTGTTAAAAAGAAGATGGGAATAATCTGCAGTGATAAGAATTAATCCATGTAATTACAACACTGAAGTTATTTGTTAGGGAAAACTTGGTAAAATGAAGATTGTGAAGCATTTGAATGGATTTCTTGGGAAGCCACAGAGTCTGTTATTACAGAACTTTGGAAACTTATTAGACAAACAAGAGGAATAATATAGAATTGATCCTGTCTTGGGCCAGCGGGGATGAACTAGATGGCTTCTTGTGACCTATTTCTCTTTGGATTTGTGTAAGAAGAGGATAAACTCCATTTACCTGCCATTGCTTTTGATTGTATCTTTAGATCTTATTGTCTTATCTGCTACTTATCTGTTAGGTTCTTTCTGGGCTAAGTGCAAGAAAAGGTTTCCTTTCTTAATGACCGTATATTTATGTCAAAACTTTACATTTTTTCATAACTTTCACAGCCATATTCCCAACTATCATTAGTGTCAACGTCCTTGTATACTAGGAGCTCATTATCTACCAAAAAAAAAAGGAACTATTCTGCATTTATAGTCTATTTACTAGATTCTCTCATTGTTTCTTGAAATTCATGCAGATTACCATGTTAAGAAAATAATCTTTAGATCCCAGCAAATTTGAATCTAGAAAAGAGAATACATTTTTGGGGTTTTATTTCATGTCACTGGATTCTTGACATGGCTGAAGAATTCTTTTAGAACGAAGTAGCTATCTCCTGCCTGATTTCTCCTGTGAAATGTACATATAGTTTGCTTTGGAACAAGTGTGTGTGTGTATTTATATATACATACAAACATTTTATATCAATTTCTATTTATTTATGTATTTCATTAGCATGTTAACTTCTGAAGATTGGAATCTTGTTATGCCTATAGAAAACCAATGGGGAACATCTACTGCTTTAGTTAAAAATCAGACTGCTCTCATGCAGGTAGCAAAGAAAATAAAACATTCTATGTTTGCATCTGTATATGTTTACTTACTGTAGATGCTTACATGCTGTATATGCTTACAAATACTGATAGTATTTGCTTAACAGAATAGAATGGAGGGGCACGTTGTTTATTTTTAAGAACCTTCTGGTATTCTTTGTGACTCTTGCAGAATACATTCATACATGTGTATTCTTTTCTTTTTATGTTAGTTTCCATAATGGAAAAAGGAAGCACGGTTTTCAATAGTGCACAAAGGTTGGAAGTTGTTAGAAACTGCATCTCATTCATCTTTGAAAATAAATTTTTGGAGACTGAAAAGGTAATAAAATTAAATTTTTACTTTCCTAAATATGCATAAATTCTGTTAATGAACAAAATGGAGACTGACCTTGGCATAAATTATGTTTTGTAGTCTTACATTTCAAACTATTATTTTTGTAATTTAAGTGATGAAGTAAATGATAAAATGAATAATCTCAATGTAATCTTATATGTAATATGAGGGAAATAAATTTGGAAACTTGAATGCGTAAATTTGCTAATTTCTCCTTCCATTATGAATAGTATTGTCCACATCATTAATCTTTTTAAAGAATAATTTTCAGCCTGATTAATTCTGCTGTTTTTTAAAATCAGTAGTTTGATAGAACTCAGAGGTAGATGTCAGTATTTCACGTCAGTTTTTTCTCAGATGTTAAAGTTGTTAACATCCTTATTTTTTTACATTAAGATGCTGTCCCTTTTTGCAGATTCTGCCCATAGAATTTTAATGTTTCTATTCTAGAGCGATCACTCAAACACATACTCAAACCTGAATGTGCATCTGAAAATGGCAGTATAATTATTTTCAGAAATTTTTGGATTTCTCAGAATAGTTTCATCTGTATATCTGTGAGGTTGCATAATTCAAGATATAAACCAAGAAACTCCGGTTTCCTAAGATAGTCTATCCAAATGCAGAAGAGAAAAATCCTAATAAAATTGTAGCTCTCTTTAAAGAGTTTTGAATGCATGTGTTGCAGAATAGTTTTTAACCACGTTCAACTTGCAGTCAACTAGAAAATTTCAGCAATATTTTCGGACCCTGCCTAGAAAAGTTGTCCTTTGATAATAAGCTGCCTTTTGTTGTTTATCTTTTGCTGTCTATTCAAACTTCCCTAAAGGGACACAGTTGATAATCACTGAGGTGGCACTTGCTACATCGTTAAACCGTTGGTATAAATATTTTATTGGCCCTAATTTAGGGTAAACTTGATAACAGTCTTGTGACTCAGTGCTATGAGTGGTATGCATCTTTTAAAACCATTTGTCATTCATTGTTTATCAAAAACCATGCTAGCTGGCCTTGATATGTGAACTTAAGACCTAGCCTGGCTGGTACAGCTACAGCATGTGCTTTCATGCACAGTAATCCATTTCCGATTTCCTGTTCATTCTGTGCCTTTCTATATTCACTTGTTTCCATTTAGAGATGTAGATGAGAGATGTTGTTTAATGCATTAGAAAAAAAAAACATGGTGGAAAATGAAGATTATAGTGTGATTTTGCTTGAGTCTGTTACATGAAAATTTGATATTCTGAAAGGCATTCAGATACTATATGTACTATGACTTAATGTTTCCTGATAAAGAATATATGATACTCACTGTTTTGCAATTTCATGTTAGTGAAGTTAGATTTTTCTTTTCTCCAGACCTTGCCTGCAGCTCTGAGAGCCCTAAAAGGAAAGGCAGCCCGGCACTGCCTGACACAGGAATTAGGCCTGCATGTTAAACAAAATCGAGCAATACTGGACCATCAGCAGTTTGACTACATAGTACGAATGATGAACTGTGCTTTGCAGGTACAGTGTGGGAAGGTTTGGTTCTTTGTCTTTTTGTGACTGTGATAAGTAAAATATTGTTTACAGTGATGTGGAGAATCAAAATAATTGAATGATAGGACCATGTACTACAGTGAGGTAGCTGATATTAGGTGAGAGCGATTGAACAGATTTTGTAGTTGGAAGGATAAAGGAGAAAATGCAAAGATCTGTACTGATCTGTGTAGTATGAAAATTAGAAAGGAAACTGCTTACATGCTTATTCATTTAGAAAGAATTTAGATTCAGTATTAAGTATTGAACAGATTCATAATAGCTTTACATACTTTTTTATGAATAGTGTTAACTTTTCTGGGTAGTTTTCAACTATGAGTTCCTAAAACGTGTAACACCTGCTGCACGGTTTAGCAAAAGGTAAGCTTTTTTTCTTTGTTGTCACAAGTGCAAACATTTTTCAAGAAAAAAATAAACCTTCCCTTATTCATAGTTGTAGCTCTGCTTTTCTGTGTCGTGTCAGAAACTCACTTTCTTTGGCGTTTCAGTTAATCTATTAATTTTTTCTACTGGTAAAAAACTTACTGGTAAGTAAGTTATAAACTTTTTAACAGGTAGCTATGAGAATAACATATGTGTATGAGTTCTTTTGATCTTCATTTGATTCATTGTTCTGATTTAACCATATGTTGCACCTGCTATATGTTCCGGAGTCATAGATTTTCCTTCAAACCAGAAAACAGAATTTTCTAGACGTACCACGAATTTTGGTCCTACTCTAGAAATAGTCCTGAGTTTCTGAAAAAAAAAGTAATCAGAGTTTTAGGCAACAGGAAGGAAATACAAATGTCTTTATTTGCCACATCTTAACAGATAGAAGAAGAAAATACTGAGTTGAGGAGATTTCCTTTTCTGAGGAAAGAAACACTGATGTTAACTTTTAATAAAGTCAGCAATTGCAGTTTTTCTGTTTGTGAAAAATTAATGTTCACTCTAGAATGAATTTAGTCCTTCTGGGGTCCTCAAATGTTCACAGAAATGAATGTCTATAAAGTCATACTGAAGTAAAATGGAATGATTGTTATTTTTCTTAATAAATGTAGCAAAATCAACTCAAATCATGCAGAGGAAACAAATATATGGATTAAGGAGGCACAGGGTGGGGTTATTTTTTGCTCCTTTTTTTCTCTCCTTTTTTCCTAATAATATTTTTGTATCTTTGAAATGTAAGATGGAAATTTCCATTTCTCAGTAGTAAGCTTAGCCAATGTGAAAACATCTGAACTCCTGACACTGGGCAGCTAGTTAGTATTCACTACATCCACTTTTATGACATATGAAATTATTTATTAAGATAAAAGCTTGATTTATAATTTGTCTATGCACTTTGTTCAGCTGTATTATTTGGAACGATATGTAAATTGTGACATTTTTGGAGCTTCTCTGTATCAGTTCAAGACAAAAATATATTATTAAGAACATAGTTAAGTTTGTCCTTGCTGCAAAGAGTCTCAGCAAGTCAGCATTTTGCTGTAGAGGAATGTATCTTGTTAGCTGCAGGTCATGAGACCAAGGAACTTAAACAGTGTATATTAGAAAAATACAGAAACTTGATTTTAAAAATGTGATCATAACTGAAAATGCAGTCATGCTTTTATTTAGAATGCCAAATTAATGATGATGGAATTTTGGGGGATTAGACTGCAATATTGATTTAAGATCTTACAGAACTATTGGAATTATAAAAACCGTGTCCTTGAATGTCCTGTCTCAGATTTTTTTATTAATGTTATTGCTTGTTCCAATTGGTTTCTCCAAAATAGAAACAAATATTGTTATTACCATGGGGGATATGGCAGCAAATATGAAAGCTATGAGGAAGGGAGGACCCAAGGGGCATAGGTGATAGTTTGGGCACAATCCTGGCGTTGAACTGGTCTTGCTGTATGTGGTGGGTTGAGCTGGGATGTGTATGCAGTACATCCCAGCTTGATGGTTTTCCCTGGGAAAAGAAACAGTCTCACCTGTCTCATTTCCTGATGAGATAGGAACTCTGATGTTCCCCAGCCAGCAAACCTCTGCTTCCGATAATGTGAATTGTTAATAATAATGTGTACAGCTTGGTTGCTTCTGTATCTTTTGAATGTGAAACTGTATGGTTGGCATGTACAAAAATCTTTGTCTTACTGGGAACAGTACCACATATTACAAAATCAGGAAGATTGCATTCTTACTGCCCATCTCTCCATTGCTGTTCAAGATTTTCCTGGTTTCCAGTGTCAAGTTTTTTTGTGTGTGTTGCTTTTTTTTTTTTCTTTTAATTGAATGCACTTGCTTGCTTTACTTGAGTCTATTAAAATAAAAGTTAGATACTTTTTCAGAACTTCTATCATTTCAGAACTTTTCATCACTTGATTGATGAAAAGTAGAATATTAACACAGTGCTGGTAATAATCCCACCATGTATACTGTTGCTTGTTGCTAGTCTCTTTATACCTGGTGTGACGTGTTTGCTGCCATAATGCTTGAAAATAGACTAAGGCAGAGGAAGAAAATACTCATAGCATTGCTTCAAGTTAGAAGCTGTTTAATTTCAGTGAAATATAAGTTATGTTGTAGTTCCCCGAGTGTCTGATCTCTAACCATTTTGCAACTGGGAGGAAAGGAAGAAAAGGGTATTTCACTGCTTTCTGTAGAGATGACAAAACTTGTGCTTGCCAGATCTCTGGTGTTTGTCAACATGAGTCTCTCAGTCCAAGTGTGGCATTCTTTTCAACTGTTCTTCTTTAGCCTATTTACAGTTTGAAAGTAACAAGCAAGACCTTGCTGCAAATTTTCAACAGGCCCATGGTATATGGAATTGTACAAGAAAACTTCAGATTAATTTACCTTCTTTATCAAGTGCAGAGTTGCATATCAAGCTGTGTGGTAGATGTTAGACAGCTGTACAAACAGTTAAGTTATGATGCAGCGAGTCAATACTGCAGCGTGAAAACTGTTTTCTGTTTGTGTTTGTGAAGTGCTGACCATCTACTGCTGCTGAAATGCAAATGTAAGAATTACTTCTGATCATTCATAGTAGTATAAAAATCAAAATGTCATGAAGATTCATTTAAGCTCACTCTCTTGGGGTTAAGTAGTCATTGGCCAAGTGCTAAAAACGTTACTTTCATTCTCTGAGTAAGAATTCTTCCCCTGACAAATCATGCATTCTGACAAGCATTTCAAGCAGCCTGTATCACAGCAGTGGTTAGTATCTGTGATAGCAGAAGATAAATGTTATGTTCCTTTCCATACGTTATATAACTAAATTACTGTTAAAAGCCATTTACGTTAACGTATTGATTGACAACTTATTCGTACAGGTAATGATATAATGTGAAAAATGTGAAAATGGTTTCTGTGGCATTTGCTTTCTGCTGTTGGGGTTACCTCAGAATAGTTTGCAACTACACGCAAATTTCTACTTTAAGGTTTTCATTTTCTTTAATGAAATATTTTCATTATTTTCATATTTTTAGAAAAGGCTGCCAGTACTGATTTTTAAGGATCTAAAAAGGCTATATGTTAGCAGAGTGCTTTTGCTATGTAATTATGTTTTGAGCAATAGGTTTTATTGTTAATGCAGATTAAGAAATAATGGCCAAAACCATGTTGAGGTCAATTTTTCATACTTAGCCATTAATTTTTCTCAGAATTCAGTTTTGCAAATACTGTCCAATAACAAGAAAGATTTTATTACTCCTAAGAGAAAATCAACCATGTGTGTGTCATATGATTCAAATTCTTGGCAATATAAAGGTTAAATGAACTAGCATTTCTCATATTTTATGTTGAAAACTACATTGCCAAACATCTTTCTTTGGAGGGTGATAGGAGGTCTTTCTTTCAGCCTTTTATTCCATGGCCTGCCGTTTGTTACTCGGTTTGTGTTCCTGGAAGCAAGCGCTTTCAGAAATGATGGTTGAACAGCAGCAATATTGTAAAGTATTTTAAGGTATTTCAAAACATTTCACAAATTAAAATCCTGGGAGTTTGAGAAGGCTGTACTTAACTCTTATCAATTAATCAGTTCTTAGCGACTTGATCTTTTTCACAGTTGTGGTGTTATAGAAATTACTGCATCCTGCTGCCCCCGGGTTTGGTGGAAATGCCTTTGTCTGGGAGTGGGGCAGCAGGTTGGGGCTTCTCCACAGGGAGAGGCCCTGTGCAATGGGCACCCATGGAACTGCTCTACACCTGGCAGCTTCCAGTCCTTGCTTCTAGAAGCTGAAGTAAGTCTGACTTCTGCTCAATCTTTGTATTTCAATACAATCATTACATGACAGGAGGGTGTTTTTGCTAATTAAAGTATCAGTGGAGATACTTGAGTGCTGGCACTGCCGGCTGCTGTGGCTGGTTGCCACCTTGCTATGGGGCTGTGAACTGGCTGGGATCAGCTGCGATTTTACATGGCATTTCCAAAGCAATGTAAGCGTTTTGGGGGAAAATAGAGAATATAGAGCATCCCAATGGCAGATGGCTGATTTGTGGCTGTGTTGTGTTGTTTTCGGTCAGATTCTATATGGCTTGCAGATAGGTTAATAAAAATGAGACACCCTTTCACACTTGGATGTTGTGTTGAAAGCACATAGCTTTGTGGAGCTTGGCATGGACTGCTCTTAAGTGTTCATTACTGTTAATTGCATCCTTGTGGTTGCTGCACATTTCTAATAACTCTGTGTTCTAAATGTTTTTGGTCGTCTTGATGAAAAGCAGACATGTGCATGTATGCTACTCACTGTTGTAAATAAAATAAGTCTGGTTTAGGAATTGTGTTATACTGCTGTGTAGCGACTCTGGAGCCTGTTCATGAAGGAGATGAAAGGTAAGTGGTTGGTTTTTTTTTAAAGATGTTTCTTGATGTTTAAAAGGGTAGGCATTTTGGTAATAAAGTAACTTATGTGAAATCAGTGACTTCTGTTTTCACAAGTTCTCCATTTATTTCTTCCATCTTTTTTATTAAATATAAAATATTTGTATTTAGA